AATGCCAGATAAAATACAAGCTATTGTCATAAAAGCTCTACTAGCCATTAATCTATTACAGTAACCGTTATCATCAGTCGCCGATGGGCAGTTGATATTAGCGCAAGTTGTCGAACCAGAAACTGTGGAGCAATATTGCCATAAGCCATATGAATTAGTATAACCTCCATAAGTTGTTTGACTCCTAAAGTACAAAAGTTAATAGAGTTTACATTTTGTCTTTTTGATTATTCTTTGAACATTTTTGATTTATAAAGAGTTGAATGTTATTTTTACAAAAAATGACGTTAAGCACTATCGAAGAAAGAACAAATGAAAAAATTTACATACCATGATGGAACCGCATTACTAGCAACGTAGAATATCCAGGCTACAGTCAAGATAATTCCAGCAATAATAGCTACCACTTTCATATTTGATGATTTATTATTGAGTTGTTGATATGAAACTCTTTTTTTTCTTTTGCGTGAGCTTGTGTAGAAGTTGTAAGAATCAAACGAAATTTATAGTCTGATTCGCCTACACAACTTCATCTATATGAATAAATTTATTTAAACACAAAACAATATTCGCTTGAAGCCATACAACGTTTCCAATAACATATATACGTACACAAAGAATTTCATATAAAAATAAATTACTAGATTACATTATTGGCTTACTATAACGAAAGAGAATATGAGTTATTTATACTGGGAATTTTTAGGTATGAATCATTACGAGAATTTTGTTACATTCTATGTAGTCTATGAGTATATGTTGATGATGAAGAGTGTGAGTCTGGATACGATATCAATATATATTATTCACATCCACATCCATATTGTGCATATGTAAAACAGTTATGCGATGCGAAATTAAATTCGAAAATTCAAGCAATAAAACAACGTTAAAAAGGTATGATAAAACATATAATACATATCTCGCAATAGAATTCATTCTATTATATTTTATAAAGGAAAAAATGGGATTTTTGTGTTGACTGCCATTTAATTGTGAAGAATTTTGGATAGGTCTAATTACAATATTCGTGATCAACATGGCCTAGTGTATATAACTAGATATTATTTTGGTTGAATTTGAAAAAACAAATTTCGACGTAGCCGTACTCCAACCTCAAGGATAAATTTTTTTCCAAAATTGTTTTTGTCAGATTCTGAAGGATTTTTAAACGCTATTCTACTCACAATTCGATGCTGATTTCGAACATGTGTGCCTTAAGTCAGAACTTTTTAGACTACAAACATGTCTTATTGCAACTCGTCTTTTCAACGGTATATGTGACTTTTACAAAAAGTTATTTTAATTTATTTGCCTATGAAAGCTATTAAACACATAATGATCGTAAAATTTTAAAGACTTACACAAATAAATGTCATACTAGAGGCCCTTGTGAAGAGATAAGATTTCATATTATAGGGAAAACTGGCTCAATAAAAAATGAGTAATGTCAGACTTGAAAGTTCAATTCATTTGTTCACTAAGTATTAAACTGTTTTCTTTCTGTATCTCTTTTCCCTTCATCGCCACTGATATCGTGCTTACTCAGTTACTCCTGTTCCCCTTACTGATATCCTCCCTGTGCTCTACGCTCATCCTTGCCCCCTGTTCACTCCCCCTCTCCACTGTCACCTTCTTGCAGATGGATAGTTGAATGCTTAAGTTCAAGTGTGAGGTATGGCATACATGTAAAAAGTCTGGATAAGAAAAAAGTTTCAGAAGAAAACTTGTAAATTTTAGTATAGATTTTTTAATTTTATTATGTCTTATTCTTTTCTTTTGTTTTATTTTATTTTAATGAATGGGTAGATAATTATAATAATATAGGATAGTAGGACAACGTAAGCAGATGGTCATCGTCGGCTAGTCATATATGTATAAGTATATGTATAATTTTTTTTATCCTTCTGTGACCAATCAGACGAAAGTTCCGAAACTGAATCTTGTACATTATAATATAGATTTTACAAAAAATGACGCTAAACACTATCAAAGAAAGAATAAATGAAAGTTCACATACCATGATGCAACCGCATTACTGACAATGTATAATATGCAGGTTAATGCCAAGATGCATCCAGCAACAAGAGCTACCAATTTCATATTTTGATGATTTATTACGGAGTTGTAGATATGAACCGTTTTTCTTCTTTTTTACAAGATTGCATTGGAATTGTAGAAACCACACGAAATTTATAGTTTTATTCGCCTACACTACTTCCCCTGTGACTAATTTAAGTGCTGTATAACGATACATTACCAATCCTTCGGGCAGGCAACATCGAGGTCTTTTTTTGATAATTCTTATTTTTTTCTCTGTTTGCTTCTTTTGCACTTACAAATCGCTTGATTAGCTCGATCCTTTGTCTTTTTTTGCATGTATGGAATGACTGAATCATTTCTTCTCTTTCAAATTTGTTCTTCAACTCCGCATTTTTATTAGTGTGTGATTCATTCTTCAGAATATACAAGGAAGAATGAAAATACATTATTTAGTCAGTCTCTGTAATATTGAAAATAAATATAGACATATATTAAATATGAAAGTGGTGCTTATAAGATCAGAAATCGTTTCATTGCTGTTCTTATTTGTAGAAGCATTTGGATTATATTTTGAATACTACGTAGCAGAGGAAAGATCTATTTTAATAGTGTAATCGAACTAAATCTATATGTGAGAAAACGAAAAAAAAATACGTTCTCTTAAAATAGATTAAGATGTGTTGAAATTTACTTATAATTCTAAAGAAATGATTAGTTTTTTTATCTGGATCTATTTCAGTAGCGTAATGAATTGTTTTTTTTTGTTTTCGTAAAATCGATTTTATTGAAATGATTAACCGTAAGTAGTAATTTAGAATAGGTTTATTATCTTTGCTTAAATCGGTTTTATTGGCATAACGAACCATAAGTGTTTATTTATCTCAAACTATTCCTCTTTTTATTAGTTCTATTGCTTTTAACTAGGCTAACTACAATGCGAATGAATTTTTTAGAGATAGTTTTATATTTTTATTTAGCTCTATTTGAACAACATAGTAAACAGTAAGTATTCAATGATGTCAAACAATTTTTATTTTTCAATTTACATCAATTCCAACAGCAACAGTGAATATTCGTTTAACTACACCAACATGCAGTTTGGACTAACAGTGAGGGAGTAGAAACAGGAAGTTGTATTCTTGCCAGTGAAAAGAAGCATGTATTAGCTTTAAGTATTATTTTATAGGTACTATTCTCATGATATTCTCACGTGATCCGATCGTCAGGAACCAGCGGATCCAACATCTGATAACTTTGTTTTGGAATCCTATACGAAGGTAACGACTATCTTCTTAAAGGATTTTATGAGATCCTAAGTAGGAATTCTTTGCTCTGAGTATCGCTTCGACTACATATATTTATTATATGAAAAACCAGTGAGATTGACTTGTCATCGAACAACATAATCATCATCAATAATGAATTTTAAGTAATTAATCGAGTTTATTAGATGAATCGATATTAAAAACAAAGACAACAAAAATCATAAGAAGAAAATGAAATGTTAAATAAAAAGATTCGGTAAAT